GACAAAGGAGCCTCAGTTGAGGAAATGCCTCCATGAGATCCAGCTAAAGCATTTTCTTAATTAGTGATTGATGTGGGCGAACCCAGCCCATTGTGGGTGGTGCTATCCTTGGGCTGGTCCTGGGTTCTATAAGAAAGCAGGTTGAGCAAGCCAGTAAGCAGCATTCCTCCGGGACTTCTACATCAACTACTGCCTCTAGGTTCCTGCCCTGTTTTGAGTTTCTGTCCTGATTTCCTTTGGTGTTTAACAGCAATGTGGAAGTGTCAGCTGAATAAACCCTTTCCTCCCCAACTTGCCTTTTGGTTGTGGTGTTTCATTGCAGCAATAGACTAAGACACTCATAGTGCAGCCTATATCATTGATTTTACAAAAATGGATTATATCTTAATTATATTTTTACCCTGATACTACAGCCCTACCTCATTATTTGTGAAGATTGTATTTCATCAGATGATTATAATATAGGTTTTTGTTGTTTTCTGCAGTTTCTTCCTTAACCTTTTTTTTTTTTTTTTTTTTTTTTTTTTTTTTTTTCGAGACAGGGTTTCTCCATAGCTTTTCTATACCAGGCTGGCCTCGAATTCACAGAGATCCGCCTGCCTCTGCCTCCCGAGTGCTGGGATTAAAGCCATGCGTCACCACCGCCTGGCTTCTTCCTTAACCTTTTGAGTATTTGATTTTACAGGTGTGTTCAGCCAAGCTCTGTCATACAGTTTGGATGGACATTAGAGTTATTTCCAGTTTGTTTGAGACAAGGCCTGCTATGTAGCTGGTCTGAAACTCAATATATAGACCTGGAGCTCACAGAGATCTGCCTGCCTCCTGAGTGCTGAGCTTAAAAATGTGTGTCACCACGCCCACTCCCAGTTTTAAAATTTTAATTAAAATTTTTTGGCAATATCATACTTATATGCAGTGAACTTTGAGTACATTCAACCCTTACTACCTTCTCATCCCTTCCCACTACTCCAGACTTTCTTCTTTCTAATAAGTCTTCCCTTATATCTGTGCTTTTATCTTCTCCCTCTCTTGGTCTCTAGCCTTCCCTCTCTCATTTTCTCCCTTGCTTCCTTTTTTGTTCAGTTCCTCCCAGGTAGTCACAGCCGTGTGTGTTCATGATCATAAGGACCACTTTGTATTCAGAAGACAGCACATCCTGCATTCTTCCCCACCCTTTGCTTCCCGTAGTCCTTTCACTCTCTCTTCTGTGATGTTCCCTGGGCCGTGGATGGGGTGACATAGAAAACCCATTTGGATCTAAGCACTAGCTGTCCTGTTCCCCTGTTTAACTGTTGCCCTCTGCTGCAAGAGGCTTCTTTAATCCAGTCTGAGAGCGACAGGAGTCTGTGGGTATAAACATATAAGAAAACAGTTTTAACACATTTGGGAAGACACCAGTATTAGATTCTCCAATAGAGCAAGTGATCTCTCACAGGCTTTTCACCAGTTCTATGGTGCAGGCATATATGTATTCCCTCCTGTAGAGTTTCTTCAGTCCAATCAGAAAGCAGTTGGTTACCCATAGAACATTCATGTGGTAGCATATCTTGCCAGGCAGTTCAGTACTGGAACAGGAACACCTATAGCTCGGTGTGATTGTTCTAGCACTATGGTGGTGGGTATCCAAGAGCAAATATAAGAGCCTCTAGTGTTTTGAGAGTCTGCGGGGACTACCTGGCCAATCATAGGGGAATATCCCATAGCTGACACTGGAATTTTGGTTTGAAAACCTATGGCTTCTGGGAGCAGTGTTAACTACCATGTGAAATACTTCTGTTCAATTTCTTTTTTCCTTTTTTTTAAGTCTATAAAATGGTATGTTCCTATATGACTTTTTCATGCATTCTTAATTTTGATTGGCCCCCCTTCTCCAACTCCACGTTTCTTCTATTTCTTTATTTCCTCATTTCTCTTCAACCCTTGTCTTTCCTACAGTCCCTTCTCTGATTTCATATAAATAGATTTACTCTTCCTGCTCCCTTCAACACCCCCTGCCCCATGTCTCCTTTCCTGATACCTGGCCGCTTCAGGCACTCACTACAACCTCAACATAGCTGTCTAAAAATTTGAGTTCAAGATCCACATATGAGAGAGAACACCCAGTGTTTGTCTCTCTAGGTATGGCTTGCTGCACTCAGTATAATATTTTCCAATTCCATTCATTTTCCTGCAGATTTTATTTTTCTCTAATGCTGAGTAAAATTCAATTGTGTGAGTGGTTTACGATAGTCACATGTTTATTCTATAATTAATTATAGAATAATATAATTGTATATAATTAAACTGTATAATATATGATTAATATGATTAATTAATATAACTTATTCTATAATTGGTTGCTAGCTGAATTAATGATCAGAGATGCTCAGAAAATGACTGGTAAACAATGGGTCAAGTATATAGTATTTTATTACTGTATGAATCAATTAAATATTGAAAGTATTTAGAGTTTATTCAGTATACATTTTATTAAGGGTTCAAAATAGAACTGATTCTACTCTCCAAGGATTTTTAGTAGTCGTGAAGAATCTTTGATGTCCTTACTTTTTTGTATAATCTTTGGGCATACGTTTAACTACTGTCTTAATAATCATGGTGCACATGAGTTTATATGAGGGCATGTATGTAAAGGAGGACCTGGTATGAGCAAATACTTAATATGCTTGTGGACATGGGAACTGGGAAAACCTCAGTTATTACCTGTGTGTCAAATCGTTGGTATCAGGTAGTATATGCAGTTTTGAAAGAAATTTTCAACCCTGCCTTTCCAGGTGGTTTTGCAGCAGAAGGTCTGCTTGTTTTATTTTCACCGTCATATCTGCCCCTTGGCCGACTACCAGCCTTGTCTTACTGATGTAGGAAGTAAAATCATTCTTGAGAGAAACAGAAGAATCAATAAAATATCCAGACAAATAGAGATAATAGAGCAAAATATTGAAGTTAAAACAGTTTAAAATCTGCCCAGTGTGGTGGCTCACACCTGTAATCCTATCTCTTGGGAGCTAGAGGCAGGAAAATCAGGTTTAGGTCATCCTTGCCTACATGACAAGTTCAAACCTGGGTGAAGTCTATACAGCCTGTACTTGTAAGATCTTGTTTCAAAAACAAACAGTAAGACAAAGTGTTTAAAATGCACCTTTCTCCCCATTGCTAGTTTGGGAGCACTTTTAGCAAGTTACTTAATCTCTTTTAATTCTAAATTATTTATCTGTAGTGTGGGAATGATGTAACAAGTGCATTAAGTGAAAAAAAATGCATATAGAGGAGTTTGTCCAGGCATATAGAAAAAACTTAAAAAACAGATATGATGGCTGTGGTGAGCCATTGGTGGGCAGTGGATGTTTTGTTCAGCTTTGCTCTCTATGGATAGTTTGTAAATAACTGAATTCTGGGTGTAAATGGTATTGCTTGTCATGGAAGTGAAAAAAATCAATTCTTTAAAAATGTATTTATTCTAATTTATTCTTTTATTTAGTGTGTGTGCTCTCATGTGCCATCCATGGCTCATATGGAGGGTTTCCTCTTCTCCTGTGTATGTTCCAGGGATCAAACTTAGGTTGTCAGGCTTGATGGTAAGAGGCTTTAACTTGATCCATCTCACTGGCCCAGAAATCAATACTTTAAAAGAAAATTTTGCGTGGTGGTACATACATTTTATTCCAGCACTCAGGAGATAGAAGCAGATAGATATCTGTGAGTTTGAGGCCAGCCAAGGGTTCCATAGTGAGACTTATCTCAACGCAAACAAATTAATAAAATTAGTTAAAAGAAAATTTCACAACTTCTCCAACTTGGGTCTCAAAATTTTCCTAGGGGAATTGTCTAGGATCTGTGCTCAAGGCGTAAGTGGAGGTAGAAAATGAAGATGATATTTTCTGTTACTAAATTGCAGTTCAAAGTCTTGAAAAGAATTAGTGAATTCTGAATGGGAATATTATTATTCTGAGAAGTGGGTGTCAGGAAGACTGTTGGGAGTGGGCTCTATTTGAACGCCTGAGTCATGTGGTAGTCGAAAACCGGAGCCTCTGCACTTGACGTTGTAAGTCTATTTTCTTTAGCCCAGATAGTCATTTCCCATGATAAAACTGTCATTTCTCAAATAAAATTATTTTTCATAGGTTGTATCATTTTGCTTCTATTTATTCTCCTATTATTATTAATTATTATTATCATTATTACTTTACTTTTTCAAAAAAAAATTACCTGCTCAAGGCTTTGACCATTTGCATAGTGACAAGAATTCTTTGAAGATTACAATTTGCCTTAAAAAAATGTATATAAAGTCTGTGTGTGCTTTCTAAGAAAGGACTAAAATACTGGTGGCAAAAGTGAGCAAATCATGATCTCCCTATTTCTAGTGACTTAGATTGAAATTCATCCTATAACTGCTGTATCTCAGAGATGTTAGAGTAACTTTCCTAAACCTTTTTTTTTTTTTTTTTTTTACTCTATAAGGTTATTGGGGAAGTAGCAGAAAAGTTAGCAACAAATGCATAGAAAATCCCCGGTCACTCCAGACAGTAGCAAATGTATTACAGGAACAGGACATAGCCCTCTGAGGTGTTGGTGTCAAGACTGTCTGCTGGAGTCTCGTGCCTGAGCCGATTGCTAAGCTGAGTAAAAGCTGTTTTCCGGTGCTCTGAGTGGGCAGTGTCTCTGGTCTCCCTGTGTGTGGTGGTCTGCTGTCCACTCCCTAGCCAGCTGGTGTCCACAAACAGCTGGGAGGCAAGGAGGAGAGGGGTCAGGTCGCCTTCTAGCACACGGGCTTCCGGAAGCCTGTCTTCTGTAGCAGCCACAGAGTACAGGAAAAAAGCTGTTTGTTCCGCAGGAGGACGTGATTGGGGCTGATGGGACACTTGCAAAACTAGGCCAGAGTAAACCCTCCAGGTAGAGCCCTGCTTCTACTTCCCCTTCCATAGGCCCCTGAGGGCACTGCCCAGCACTGACAGTGGACACTCAGTGAGCAGTCAGGAGACCAAGAGGCTGTGAGAAGGAAGATGTGTTCCCACAGCACCGGGGTTTGACATGGACAGGAACGGACTTTCCAAATACAGGGTAAGGCTTTCAGTACCCCTCCCTGCAGTATCTATGGCCAGGGCACAGGCAACCCATAACTGCTCCCGAATACAGGGGCCCAAACCAGTACTTTAATCAGATCTTTTATTGTGCCCGTATTAAGAAATCTTCAACATCCTTGTCGAGGGCCAAGGCCCCCTTTTACATTATGTCTTGGATCTCTGCCCCTGTTCCTCTGGCTTTGTTATTCTTTAGCGCTGGGTCATGACTATATATAAATGTGCTCCCGTACCTGCTCCTCCTCCTCCTCCTCGCCTTCTCAATCTAGGCACCACCCTCACACATAAGTGTGCTCTCTGCACTTCACATCAATCTTGTAGAATTTAGCTATTTGATTCATACTTGATTTTTAGCGTTTCTAGGTGTATGGTTTTTCTCTATAGTTGGGTGCCTAGTAAGTATTGTAAATTAAAATGATTTGACCCAGTGGTGGATTCTTGTTTGAAATGAGTTCAAGCTAGCCTCCTTGCCTCATGAAAATTTTATAATTTTGTGAGATTTTTATGAGAGCTTTGAATTAAATATCAGAGAGTGCTTAATTTAAGAGGAAGGCAGGCAGACATTGTGGTTTGGAATTTTTTGTTTTGGAATCATAGTGTCGAGTCAGCAATCGCTGTGAGACTGTTACCATCTGTTTAATGTGCCTGAGTCTCAGTTTCTTATCTATAAAATGGAGATGTTACTATCTTCTTGGTAGTCTTATGAGGATTGGAAGTGATACATGTCAAATATCTGCATATCACAGGGGGTCTGGAGGTGGAAGCTATTAATGTTATTTCTTTTAATGATATTGCATAGCCCTTAATATACAAGTCTTTTACCTCCTTGCTAAATTTATTCATAGCTATTTTTTTTCTTTTAGACTCTTTTAAATGGAAGTGCTTTCTTAATTTCCATTTTGGGGGTACCCATTACTGGCATATAGAAACATAGCTGCTGGGCTGTGGGTGTAGCTGAATGGTAAAGCATTTTGCCTAGAGTGTGCAAAGGCCTGGGTCCCAGCTTCAAACTAAAGGACTGTAATTTAGAAATGACAGCTTTTTCTGTGTCAGCTATGTAAGGTGCAGTTTAGTTGAATTTGTTAACCTGAATGGCATTTGGTGTGTTCTGTGGGGCTGTCTAGCCTGTGAATGGACATATTTACCTTTCCCTTTTCAGTTTGCTTGTCTTTTTTGTTAATAGCTAGAACTTCTAGTATAATGTTGAATGGAAAAATAATGATAAAACTGTGTTCTTATTGTTCCTTATCTAATGGGAGGAAGCTGCTATCCTTTAAAAAAATTAATATGACACTTTGTACATATATAGCATTTACTTTGCGCATATTTGCCCTACCCACTGGTACTTTTCTCTTCTGCAAGTACCTCCCTCTGCTTTCATTCTTGCACGAGATACATAGAAACACATAAGAGAAAAGCATGTTGTATTTTGTCCTCCTGTTTCACTCTGCCTCTTAACATGAGGTATGAAACCTTTCTTGTTGCTGTAATGCCATACCTGACAAAAGGAAGGGTGTGTCTGTACTCACAGATTGAGAATAGTTTCTCCGAGGAGATGACATGGCAGGAACATGAAGCAGTGATTCACATTGAATCCTTACTCAGCGAGCAGAGAAATGAATGTTGGTGCTCAGCTTGCTTTCTTGTTTGATCTGAGAACCCAGCTCAGGGAGCAATGTACCCATTGAGGGTCAGTTTGTCCACCTCAATTAACACAATATAAAAACTTCCTCACAGGCGTGCCTGGAAGTTGGTAATGCCTCCCAGCTGACAATCAAGAAGCAAGATTGCAGTTGTCTTCCTCCCCGAGAGTCTCCCGTTCCTACTTTGATGCTTTCCACATGCACTGCCACTCAGTCAGGAAAGCAAAGAGATGTGACTCCTCCTGGTGGTCATTTTCGCTTCTCTTTCTTTTTCATCCAGCACCCCTAACCTGTGGGATGATGTGCCCACTTTCAGAGTGGGTCTTCTCTCATTTAAACCTCCCCAGAAACACCTTCACAGATGTCCCTGGAGGTGTGTCTTGTAGGAATTCTAAATCCAGTCAGGTTGATGGAATTAACTAGCACAGTGTGTGTGTGCTCTGTACATGGAAAAACCTGCAATGTTTGTCTTTCCAGTCCGGCTTATTTTGTTTACCCCAACTCCATTTTTCCACATGTATCAGGTTTATTCCTTCTGGGGTTGAATAATAACTTGACTGTATATATGCCATGTTTTTGTTCATTCTTTAAATTTTTTTTTATGTGTAAGCATTTTGCCTGCATGTATGTATGTGCACCATGTGTGCACAGTGCCTGCTGAGCCCAGAAGAGGGCAGTAGATCCTTAAGAGCTGAAGTTACAGGCAGTTGTGTGTGGGTATTAGGAACGGAACTCAAGTCTTCTGTAAGCAGCTAGTGCTCTTAACTGCTGAACAATCTCTCCAACCATCTGTTTACTTCTTGGTTGGCATTTAGGCTGATTGCATATTTAAGCTGTCCAAGGAAGACATAAGGAAACACTTCATGATACAGGCTAGGCCAGGACTGAAAAGGACTGTAATAGCTCAAGTAACATCAAGAACTAATAATGGGATATATGGAAAAAAGTTAAAAGACCTAGCCTAAGCATTTATTTTAAAGTGCTTTGTTAAAAGTTAGGTGACTTTAGACACATGGGCTTATTTCTGAGTCCACTATTCTATTCTATTAGTCCTTTTGACTGTGCTTTGCTGTTTTTTTTTTTTTTATGTGTCTCTTACATAATTGAGGTCAAGTATTGTGATACCTGTTAATATAATGCTGACTATTGGGTTGTCAGATGTAGGTTTACTATGTTGAGATGCAGCACTTGTAGTTCTAGTTTCTTTAGGGCTCTTTCCATAAAGGGATGTTGGACTTCAGCAAAGGTCTTTTGAGGGTCCATTCAGTTGATTATGCAGCTTTTGTTTTTCAATTCTGGAGACCATGAGCTAGATTATATGTTGATTTGTGTATGTTGAACCATCCTGTCATCCCAGAAATAAAGTCCGTTTGGTCATAGCTTATGATCTTTAAAATATGTTTTTGAATTTAGTTTGTAAGTCTATTTTTGAGAATTTAAAATTTTATTTATTATTATTGTGCACATATATGTATGAGTATATGCCTGTCATATGTGTGCTGAGGTCAGGGTACATTTTTATGGACACCTTTCTTTTCCACTTTTCTGTAGGTTCTGGGAATTGAATTAGGCTTTAGGGTTGTGGAAGGTGTGGACAGTTTTCTAGGTAGGTACCACATACCCAAATTAAATCAAGGTCAGATGAACGATTTAACTAGATTTATAACTTGAAAGGAAATAGAAGCAGTCATCAAAAGCCTCCCAACCAAGAAAAGCCCAGGACCTGATGGTTTCAGTGCAGAATAATACCAGAACTTCAAAGAAGAGCTAATACCTATATTCCTCAAATTGTTCTAAACAATAGCAACAGAAGGAACATTGTCAAACTCTTATGAGGCTACAGTTACACTGATTCCGAAACCACACGAAGACTCAACCAAGAAAGAGAATTAGTGACCAAGCTCCTTCATGAACATTGATGTAAAATTACTCAATAAAATACTGGCAAACCAAATCCAAAAACAAATTAAAAAACAAACTCATCCACCATTATCAAATTGGCTTTATAGCAGAGATGTAGGGATGGTTCAACATATGCACTATATGGAATCCACTATATAAATAAACTGAAAGAAAAAAACCCATATGATCATTTCATTAGATGCTGAAAAAGCATTCAGCAAAATCCAACACCCCTTCATGATAAAGGTCTTGGAGAGATCAGGGAATACCAGGGACATCTAAACATAAATTATCTAAACATCCTAAAAGCAACATACAGCAAACTGACAGCCAACATCACTCTATATAGTCTTTTTCTTCTCTCTTTCAAGCCTATGTACATTTTTTAAACATACTGTGACCCACTAAGAGGTCTTTTTCATCTAAATTTGTCTTTATTGAGTGTTTTAAATCCTTTTCTGACCAGGACTGCTTCTTAAAATGTTAAGCGACATGGCTAGGACTAAGGTTGCTTTGCCTTTTGGCTCCACTCAGTCCAATGTGGCGAAGGTCTGCTTAGCACCAGTTCTGGGAGCCATGCTTACAGCCCCATTTTCAGGCACACAGTGGGTCTATATTGCCATTAAGCAAATTGTAGCACTCTGCTCACAAATCCCATTTAAATGTTTTGTAGCTGGACCTCCTGAAAGAGTCAGAGCTGTTTGTACTTGCAAAACAGGAAGCTTCCATTTTTAAGGAAGCTGAGCAGTTTTTACTGCTACAGCTGAGTCAGGAAACCTCTTAAATGAGCCACGTCTCTGCATTCCGCCAGCAAACAGAACAAGAGGCTGTGTTAAACTCTGTGTGTGTGTGTGTGTGTGTGTGTGTGTGTGTGTGTGTGTGTCTAGGATTCCTTTTCATGCCCTCTCAGGTTTTTATGTGGATTTAGTTAACCATGTTGGTGCCAATTTGTTGACAGAGGCTGCTTATTTGTTCCTGGCTGTTCAGACCCAAAATAACCACCCAGAAACTATATTAATTGCAATACTGTTTGGCCAATAGCTTAAGCATATTACTAACCAGCTTTTATATCTTAAATTAACCCATTTCTATTATTTTATATTTTACCATGAGGCTCGTGGCCTACTGGCAAGTTTCTGGCTGGTGGCTTGTGTCTTTCTCCTCTGGTGGATACATGGCTTCTCCCAGCATTCAGTTTAGTTTTTCCGCCTAGCTCTATTCTGCCCTATCACAGGCCAAATCAACTTCTTTATTCATTAACCAATAAAAGCAACACATACAGAAGGACCTCCCATATCACCCAAGGAGTGGAGGGAGTTGGAGTGGGAGAGAAGATGAAGGGAGCGGTGGTGGGGGAGTGGGAACTGGGATTGGTATGTTAAATGAGAAAAAAAGTTTTTTTAAAAAATTACAAAAAATTTAAAATTATTTTAGTAGTTTTTTTTATGTGTATGACTATATTGCCTGGACATAAGTTTGTGCATCAGATACATGCATTCGTTGTATCCAAGG